CGATTGCGTCGCCTTGGGCTAGGAGCAGGGGCAGACCGTGCTGCAGTACCTGGACGCCGGACGGGCGCAGCCGGGCACGCCGCCGGCCGCGCAGGCGGGCACCCCGCCGCCCGTGCCGCCGTGCACGTCGCCCGAGCCGCTGCCGCTCGCCCGGCCCGCTCCGCCCCGCGTCAGGGTGGAGAGCTGGTTCGACACGGGCGTGCGTCTCGCGCGGCCGACCGAGGCGGCGGAGAGCGGCACTGGTGCCCGAGGCGGCGGGGGCGGTGGGGGCGGCTGGGGACGCTCATGACGGCGCTCACGAGTGGCCGATGCTCGGCGGGAGCGCGGGCCCGCATCGCATGGCTGGCCGCAGGGCCTTGGCAGCACGCCGGTAGAGGGTGGCGCGTCTTGGCCCACAGCAGTCTCGCCGCCCGGATCTCTCGCCATTCCCCGCGCGGAGAGGTGCTCAGAGGAGAGCCGAGCAGCGAGAGAGGACGGGTTGGAGCTTGGAGGCTAGCTGGAGCTTGGCATCCGTGCAAGGAGGCTGTAAGCGTCGCACGCAGCGCTTGTCTATCTCGATCGCACCCCCGAAGCCATCGTGTACCAAAAGTAAAATATAAACCTCAAAAAACACAAAAGGAGGCTTAACACATTGACCCCACCCTGAGCCCTGGCCTCGACACCTCGACACCAAACCTCGACACCGACTCGACACCTCGACAACCCATGCCAACTCGACAAACTCGACACCCCTCGACACCCCTCGACACCCCTCGACACCATCTAGGCTGAAACCATGCTCGTCCGTGTCAAGGTGCCAAACTCGACACCTCGACACCCCTCGACACCCCTCGACACCCCTCGACACCCCTCGACACCCCTCGACACCGCTCGACACCGCTCGACACCGCTCGACACCTCTGATGATCCTAACACAGCAGAGACGTAGACCCATTGGAGTCACAGAGTTAGAAATCAGGGTTGCAGCAGCAATCAAACTTGGCTGGCAGTACTTTCATCCCTGAGTTGCAGCCTCTCAAGTTCTAGCTCAAGTAGCAGCTCAGTTGCACCCCTGTTGATGCAGCAAACATGGCAGTACTCAGGTAGCCCTAAGGTGCTGCACAGCACCTTGTACAGTGGCAATGAATCCTCACACCAGTGAGCTTGTGCCATGAGTGCAGACCTGTGGTCCATTGCGCTTTGTGCACTGGCGACGCTGCAACGGCGACGCTGCAGCGGCGGCGACGCTGCTGCGATGGGGTACTGTAGCCCTTAGCTGCTGGACAGCACCTTGTGCAGTGGCAATGTCCACTGACTCATGGCACCAGCCTTGTGCCATGAGCGCTGTGGTCAGTTGCGCTTTGTGCGCCGGTGACGCTGCAGCAGCGACGCTGCTGCAGCAGCGACGCTGCTGCGGTGCTGCGCCTGCACAGCACCTTGGTGCACAGTGGCAATGACTCCCGGCACTTGATGTCCTCAAATGTCCACAGAGAGTATACTGGTTGTGCTCAGGTTGTGCTACATCAACAGGGTGCAACTGAGGCTGCAACTAAGGGATGAAACAGCTTTGCAACTGCTGCCCAACTTTTGTTGTATGTTGATGGGCTGCAACTGCATCCACCTGCCACCTTGGACACCTCGATACCTCAGACGCCTCTTGACAACACTCGACACCCGCTCGACACCCGCTCGACACCCTCGACACCCTCGACACCCTCGACACCGGCCTCGACACCCCTCGACACCCCTCGACACTCCTCGACACGGACAAGCATGGTTTCAGCCTCGACAGGCCTCGACAGGCCTCGACAGGCCTCGACACCTCTATCCCTCGACAGCAGCTCGACACCCTCGACACCGGGCCTCGACACCTCGACACCAGGGCTCAGACCCCACCGCGGGCGGCGCCCACCACCCGCGAGACACACCGCACACGCCTCACGCGACACACGCTCACGGACACTCACGGCCCGCCCCTCAAATGTGGGCACTCATCCTCTGACCTCAGAAGGGCTCATGCCTTATGCCGGATGCCGCTCAAAAACTGCCCGGAGCGGCCGGGGACAAGCCTGTTGTTGGCTGAGGCCTTCGCCGAGGCGGCGACCGCCGAGGCTGCGGCGGAGGCTAGGGGAGGGGGTGGAGGCGGCGACCGCCGAGGCCAATCGGTCGGCCGTGGCAGCTCGCTCTGATGCGGCGGCCGGGCTCGGCGTTCCCGTTCGCCCATACACGGAGGGGTGGAAGGAGCGGGGCAATCTTGGGCGAGAGCAGGTTTCTTTTCCGGAAAACAAAAAGGAAAACAGAGGGTCCCCAGCAAGTGTGCTCCGTCGTCTTTGCCCGTGCTGGAGCTGCAACTCCTGACACGTCCGCGCTGGGACGTGCGCTAATCGAACTTGTCCTCGGGGTTGTGACTCTTTCTCCAGTCTTGCCGCCATCCACTTTACAGCCGCCATCCACCCAGCGCTGGGACGTGCGCCCCGCCGCGCCCGCCGCGCCCCACCGCGCCCCGCCGCGCCCCGCCCCGCCCCGCCCCGCCGCGCCCCGCCGCACCCCGCCGCACCCACTGCGCGCCACGCCGGCAGAGGGGATGCGCGCAGAGGGGATGCGTGCGCAGTCGGCCGTGCCTGGTGCACGCCGCGACCGTGCTGGCGCACCCCCCGAGCGGCGCCGTGCGCGCGAGTAGCCCGTTCTGCCGCGCCGCCTTGCCGCCGCCGTCTGCTCGGCGGCTCGCTCGTGCCACCTGCTCACGGCCCGCGCGCGTCTGAACCGCCCCCACCCCCCCGCCAGGCTGGACGACACCACCCGCGCCCTCCGCTGAAGCTCCTGTTGCGAGCGCGAGATCAGGCCCGCCGCGCCCTCCCGCGAGCGCGCCGTCTGCCGCCCGCTTCCCCCGCCCCGCTTCGCCGCCCCGCCGCTACTGCCTGTGTTCGCCGCAGGGGCGAGCACGATGCCGAGCACGAGGACTCGGTCTTCCTCCAAGAAGGCTCGGTCGAGTTGGCGCAAGGAGGACGTCAAGCTCAAGATCATGACCGCGAGGATGTCACCCGAGGACGAGGAGCGGTCCGCTGCGTTGGAGGCCGAGGCGCGGCGTGAGGCGGCGGCGCGGCGTGAGGCGGCGGACCGCGAGGCAGGAGGCGGGTTCCTCCCGGAGGCGGGCGAGGCGGGCGGCGCGGGCGATGCCGCGCCGGAGGCGGAAGACGAGGAGGAGACCGAGGAGCTGTTGCTCGCCCGCGCGCTGGAGCGATCGTTCGAGGACGCCGCCGCCCGCCGCCGCAAGGAAGGCAAACGACCGCTCGTCACGCCGCCTGCGGCCGCCCCGCCTCGGCAGAGGACGCGGGGCGGAGGAAGCGTCCGTTTTGGTGGCGGCGGCGGAGGCGGCGGCGGCGTAGACGACGCCGACTCCGACGACGACGACGACCAGGACGACGCGGAGCTGGCGGCGGACATGGCGGCGGCAAGGGCTGCCTCTCTAGCTTCTTACCCGCGCGCCGGCTCGGCGGGCGGGTCGTCGAGCGCTGCCGCCACCGCTCCCGCCACCGCTCCCGCCTTGGACCCGTCGCGGGCGGATGCCACCGCGTCCGCCGCGGCAACTCACGACGTAAAAACCATGCCTTCCCCCGAGGGCACTCATCGCTTCTTCTTGAAGAGGAAGCGCGTCCCAGACCCTCACTGCATCCCTAGGCCCTATCTGCCAGCACTCGAGCGCTTCTCGAGCGCGTCGCGGCTCTGGCGAAGAAGTACATCAAGGCGGGCGGAGTGATGTCGCTCGTCACCAAGGAGCAGCTCGAGCGCATCAAGACGAATGGCGAGCTGCGCGCTTTCACGCGTGCGCTGGTGCTGCGCGGCTTTTCGTGCCGCGTGCACAAGGGCAAGCTCGTGCTGCTGCCCGTGACGCGCGGCGAGTGCTGGCCGAGGAGGGGAAAGGGCTCGCGCGGCGGCTGGGGTGACAAGCGCAACAAGTACCGCCACCAGCGCTTCGACGAGCGCCTCCGCAAGCATCAGACGTTCCAGCGGCGCTACGTGGGGAAGCTGCTGCTCAAGCAGGCGCGCTGCCCTTGCTCACCGCGCGACTGTCCTCTCCCCTAGTCCTCACAGCCTCTCCCCCCTCCTCGCAGGACACGCGCCACGCCGCCCGCGGTGCGGGCGGCATGCTGCTGGCGACGGGCGCCGGCCAGGTTGCGCCGGGCGTGAACTTGCCCGGCTCGCTGACCAACGGCGAGTTCACGGCGGCGCAGCGTCTCGGCCTGACCAACGCGGCGGCGCGGCGCTTCGCCACGGAGACGGACGTCGACTCGTTGCAGGAGGGGACGGTCTTCTTTGTGATGGTGGACCCGCAGCACGCCCTCGGCGACGTGGCCGTCACGCACCGCCTGCTCGGCTCGAACGCGCACTGGGGCGAGGGGCGCGAGCCGATGCACGCCTTCGCGCGGCACGGCGCCCCTGGCCTGCCGACGTCGCCGCCCGACATCGCGGCGATCATGCGCCGCACGCGCCGCGCCAACGCGCGCAACGGTGCATATCCCCCCCGCTCCCGTCTCCCCCTGCTCCCGTCTCCTCGCCCCCCACCCCACCCCCTAAATCCTCCCGCCAAATCACCCCTCGCCTCTCTACGCCTCCCCGCCGCACGCGCACAGGCCGCCGCAGCCTCGAGGCGCAAGACGGCATGACC